CTTGGTCCTTCTCTTTTATCTTTTTCTTTCTTCTGTTTTTTTTTCTCTCTTTTTTTCTTCTCTTTTTCTTGTTTTTGTCTCTCTGTCTTTCTCATTTCGTTATTCGTCGTTTTCATTTCTTTATCCCTTTTTTATTTGCTATTTTTCTTGTTCTTTCTTTCTTTTTTTCTTTCGCTTGCTGCTTCTCTTTCTTTTCCTTTCTCCTCGTCATTATAATAAAGATGATAATAATAATAACAACAACAAAAACAACAAAAACAACAACAATAATGATAATAATAATAATAATAATGATCATGGCCACCATTCTTTTTGTTGTTATCATTATCGTCATTATCCTAATATCAATGATAAAAACATTCATGATAAATGTGGCAACGAGACTTATAACATCAGAAATAAAAATGAAAATGATAATAACAAAATGATAACAATACATTACTAATAACATAACATCGACAACGGCAACGAAGTCAACGACAGCAACAACTAATAACAAAAATAATAATATCAAGGCAGAGAGGGGGAGGGAGATGGGGGAGAGAGGAGAGGGAAAGGGCGGAGGGAGGAAAGGGGAGAGAGGGAGAGGAAAGGAGGGAGAGAGGGAGAGGGGAGGGGGGAGGGTGAGGGAAAAGGGGAGAGAGGGGAAGGAAAGAGGGAGAGGAGGGAAAGGAGGAGAGAGAGGGAGAGGGAAAGGGAAGAGAGTGAGAGGGAAAATGAGGAGAGAGGGGAAGGAAAGAGCGGGAAAAGGAGAGGGAAGGAGGGGGAGAGAGGGGGAGGAAAGAGGGAGAGAGGGAGAGAGGAAAAAAGGGGAGAGAGAGTGGAAGAGGATAAAAAGGGGAAGACAAAGCGTAGGAGAGGGAGGAGAAGAGAGAGAGAGAGACAAATAAGAAATAAAACAAACAAACAAACAAACAGCACAATACCTGCACCGACGATCCGGGCAGTCATAATAAATAACTCAGATTTAAAGGCACTCTCGAGGCCCTCTGCTGGAAATTGGCAGTGAGGAGGAGTGCCACATCGGCCCTGGCACGGAGGCCTCTCATTAGTATAGGTCGCGGAGGTTTTTCTTATTTTCTTTTTTCTCTCTTTCTCTTTCTTTTTTTTCTCTCTTTTTCTCTTTTCTTTTCTATCTCTCTTTTTCGCTTTTTTTTTTGGTTGTGCGATTTTGAAAATATTTGAATTTTTTTTTATTGTTTTCTCTTCTATATTAAAAAAAATATATTATTATCATTATTGTTATTACTATCATCATTATAATCATTATCATTATTATTATCATTATTACTATTATTATCACTATTATTGTTATCATTATCATTATCATAAATATCATTATTATTATCATGATTATCATCATTATTGTCATGATTTATTACGCTATATTTGAGTGCAAGAAGAATGAAGTTCACCGCAACACGCCCGTTTAGGGGACGCGCACACACACACACACACACACACACACACACACACACACACACACACACACCACACACACACACACACACACACACACACACACACACACACACACACATACACACAGAAACAGGTTAATAGACAGAGACAGAATGATAGACAGAGAGGTAGACAGATAAAAAGACAGATTAATAGACATAGAGATAGAGATATAAACAGACAGAATGATAGACAGAGAGGTAGATAGACAAACAAACAGATTAATAGACAGAGAGATAGAAAGATCAACAGACAGACTGATAGACAGAGAGGTAGATAGACAAACAGACAGACGGATAGACAGAGAAGTAGATAGACAAACAGAAACACGGATAGACAGAGAGGTAGATAGACAAACAGAAAGACAGACAGAGAGTAGATAGACAACAGACAGACTGATAGACAGAGAAGTAGATAGACAAACAGACAGATTAATAGGCAGAGAAATAGAGAGATAAACAGACAGACACACAAGACAAGGACACATAAACATACATACACATAAACTTACACATACACACACGCGTACATACACATGCAAGTATAGATCCTCTTCCTTCCGTCATTCTCTCTTTTATCTTTTTCTGCACTTGCTTGTTTATTTTCGTTTGCTTAACCCTTTTTCTTTTTTTTTTCTTTTTTTTCTCTTTCGTAATCACATTCACTCCTTTCGTTTTCTCTATTAAAAAACCGCGAAAGAAAGAAAGTAAAAGAATAGAAGAAAAAAGGAACGAAAAAAAAACAAGAAAAAAAGAAAAAACAATATACGAAAGAAAGAAAGTAAAAGAATAGAATAGAGAAAAAAAGGAACGAAAGAACGAAGAAGAAGAAGAAAAACAAAAAGAACAGAAGCATAAAAAGCCCCGAGATTTTCCTTCCTCGTCTTCCATCAAAGCTCTCAGACGGCCGACCGAGCAACGAGCGACGAAGAGAACGAGATTGCAGCAAAATATTAATGGAGCCGTTCGGCCTTCTTTGATGGGCGTGGCCAGAACGGTTATTCCCTCATGCGCGACGGAGGAGAGAGGGAAGGAGGTGAGAGGCGAGAGGAAAGGAGGGAAGAGGAAGGAGGGAGAGGGACGAGGGAAGGAGGAGAGGGAAGAGAGGAACGGAGGCGAAGGGGAGAGGAAGGCAGCAGGAGAGGAAGGAGGGGGAAGGAGGAGAGGGAAGGAGGGAGAGGGAGAGCGAAGGAGGCGGAAGGAGGAGAGGGAAGGCAGGAGGAGAGGGAGAGGAAGGAAGAGAGAGGGCAGAGGGAAGAGGAGAGGGATGAGGGAAGAGGGGAAGGAGGGAGAGTTAGAGGGTGGGAAAGAAAGGAAAGGAGGGAGATAAGGGGAGAGCCGGAGAGGGGAAGCAAGGGAGGAGGGAGAGGGAGACGGCCGCGAGAGGGTGGAAGAGAAGGAAGGCAAGGGAGTAAGGGCGGTGAGGGAAGAGGGAAGGAGGCGAAAGAGAGGGAGAGGGAAGGAGGAGAGGAGAGGGAAGGAGGAGCTCAGAGGGAAGGCAGGACAGAGACGAAGTAAGGAGGGAGAGGAGGGAAGTGGAAAGAGAGGAGGGAGGAAAGGGAACAGAAAGTAGAGAGGAGAGGACAGAGGGGAGAGGGAGAGGGAAGAGGGGGAGAGGGAAAAGCGAGAGGGTGAGAAAAGGCAAGGAAAGGAGGAGTACAGGGAGAGAGGGAGAGGAAGAAGGGAGAAGGAGAGTGAGAGGAGAGGGTGGCGAAAAGAAAGGAAGGCAGAGGAAGGAGGGAGAGGGGAAGGTGGAGAGGAAGGAGGGAAAGAGAGGGAGGAGGGAAAGGAGAGAAGGAGGAGAGGAAGGAGAGAGGAGAGCGGGAAGCGAAGGAAGGGGAAGGGAAGAGGGCAGAGGAAGAAAGGAGGAGGAGGAGGGGAAGGAGGGGAGGGGGANCAATTCCATCCACGCAAATGCAGACAAGATTATGTTTTCCGAGCATGAAAAACTGTAATATTCCCCACGCAGGAAAAATACTGTACAGCCTGGGACACTAGTACATAAGTCCTATCAAATTCCCCGTGAGATTGAACAGAATGCTAAAAAACATAATTGAGACAATAAAGCTTACTTTCGAGAGCTACCCTAGGGTCTTCTAGACATTTCTCACTTGTCGAAATACACGTGAAACAATACAAAACCATAATAATAATAATACAAAATACCAGCCATCTACACCAGACTGATCACTTCCTTAAAACCACTTATTTCCTCAGTGTTTCACCAACGGCATAGTCTCTTCTGATAAAATGAGACTGGAAGACCATGAAACGTGACCATACACACGCAATTTACCTTCAATAACTTGAATAAAACTGGATTATTAATAAGAATTAAGTGTTGTTGTTTTGCTTCGCCATCGCGTGTTCCGACATAAATTTTCAGATCAGAGCATGCAGAAAACATGCTGGAAAATAAGTATTGTCCATTATCACTGTTATTTAAATTCAAGAGCATATTAGATTAGTTTACAGAGTAGTCTCATTTATTTCTAATATTATTTATGAGGATCGGGATTAGATTTTTGAAGCCGTAACTATACTCGGAAACTATTCTATCGAGCTCTCGTTTGGGCTTGTAATTTCTCTCCCTAATGTTTGCAGATTACAAATTCTGAGAATTTTCCTCTCTCTCTCATGCTTCTAACCCTCCGTCTCCCTCTCCCTCCCCCATTCTCTCTCTCTCTCTCTTCTCTCTCTCTCTCTCCTCTCTCTCTCTCTCTCTCTCTCTCTCTCTCTCTCTCTCTCTCTCTCTCTCTTCTCTTCTCTCCTTCTCATCTCTCTCTCTCTCTCTCTCTTCTCTCTCTCTCTCTCTCTCTCTCTCTCTCTCTCTCTCTTCTCTCTCTCTCTCTCTCTCTCTCTCTCAACCTCCCATAACACTTGAAAAATATCTAATATTATTTCACCAATCGCTTTTCCTAACTTTTAAAAATCTATCATTTTTCTTTTTTCATTAATTAAAATTTCGGTTGTACTGTCACACACAAAAGGATTTAGGGAATGTTTTACTTTTGCTCAATTTTATGAAAGTTTATAGTTAATAGAAGCACACACAAAATGATGCAGGGGATTTTTTTTTTTTTTTTTTTGCTCACTCTTTTTTATCAATATGAATATGAATATATCATGTTCTGGAGGAAAAAAGAAATGCCGATGACTCTCATGAATATATTTATTTTGTATATCACCATCAGCATCATCATTACTATCATCAGTCTTATTATTGTCATCATTACTGCTTTAGCGTTAAAATCATCAATGTTTTGTTGTTCTATTATTATAAATACCATAATTATGGTTGTTAGTTTCATTATGCTTGTTGTTGTTATTATTTATTGTTCTTTTTATCATTATTGTTGTTGTTATTATCATTATTGTTATCATTATTGTTGTTATCATTATTGTTGTTGTTATCATTATTGTTGTTGTTATCATTATTGTTGTTGTTATCATTATTGTTGTTGTTATCATCACTGGTGTTGCCATTATTGTTATCATTATTATTGTTGTCATAACTATTGTTGTTATCATTATTATTGTCATCATTATTATCATTGTTGAAATCATTATTGCTGTAATTATCATTATTATTGATAATTTTTTTTATTGTTGTTATCATTATTATTATTGCTATTGTTGCTTCGCCTTCGCGAGACCTTTTTCACATTCAATTCAAGCAAAAATAAAATTAAAGAAAACTCTGACAATCTCCATAATCATTATACACCTCAAAATCAATTTTAAAAAGTTGCAAACACATCAGAAAATGCATTCATATTTCGTACCACGATGTCTTCAGTCTCTTCCTTATAATAACGGCAAATAAAATGGTGCACGAAATTGCCAATATTTCCGTTACTGGCATGTAATTGCGTCGACACTCTCCTCCGTTATCCATTGTAAGTAACCTGAATGAATGAAACGAAGAATTAATATCGAAAATGACAGGTTTTCGACGTAAAATTGTATAGAATATAGGCTATCTAAACCCGTATGTGTTGTAAGATGTATACCCCGATGTATTGAGAGCAATGTTTATTACCAATATTTTAATTCACGAATACTGTATGTGTCATATATGCAATAATAATACAATTACAGATAAACAGAAGACTGTAATATTGGGCATTACATATCCATTGCTTTAGAAATAGGTAGTAAGGGAAAAAATCGGCAAAAGGTCTAACACACTAGCACATTTCCCACCAATTTTTTACCGCCGTTCTCTCTACCAGCCCAAACCACTGTGCTGCCTTGTTATAAAGGAAATGGGCCAAGACTGCCATTCGTTGTGGCGTGGTTTAGGAGGGACCTTTCACGTCCTCGGAAGGATGGACGGTGGGCCCCAAATGACGCCAGGCAACAAAGGCATTTTTACTAGAAATGAATAAGTAAAGTAACGCATGTATCTGTGGATCTCTCTATATAAGTAAAGAAATATTCATATTTTATTATATACATTTTTTTTCATCTAAGCTAATAGACACAGGGCACGGATTTACATTAAGAGACAGATTTCTGTCCATGTGGGTGTCACACGATGTCTCATTGGTGCAGGCCAGGCTGTCGCTATCACGGGAGCCCAAACCCATGTCTTTCAGGAGGATGTGTTTTCATACAGAGACGCTAGGGCAATGCTAAAAGCCTGCAGCATGGTATGCACATTGCTCCTTACCAATGTGCTCGTCATATCACAGAGGGTTCTCAGCCACAGTATATGGTCCATTATCGGATGAACTTGCTGACAGACTAAAGGAGACTGGGAGGGGAGTGTTCCATAATGCTTTGTTCATTTTACCAATCCGAGGGGGTTTGCGACCTAGAGTGACAGCTGCAGGACAGACCGGTGTCCAGAAATTTAAGAGAACGGGAAGGAAAACATCTCCCTTGATGAGATGGCACTGAAACATAACAAGCTATGAACCGCTGACACTCTCTGTATCAGTATCTAGAGGTGCTGAAGTCATTCTTTAAAGAGTAAGACTAGGTTACCATTGCGTAATTAATAGTAGATACCATTCTCTACGCTGACTACAGTTGTAACCATCGTAGCAAGTGGAGCATACACACTTCCTATACGGATTAACCATCATGATAAAAAGTTATGCATTTTTATTTATTCTATGCAGGATAGGGCACCTATAGCCAATACAACTACAACGATAAGCATTCGGTGATGAGTATCAGTTATCTCTAAATAACTGAAACAGGCCGGGCCATGTATACGGCCCGGGCAAAACCTGCTAGAGCAAATTTTACTAAACGGGAAACTGGAGATCTGTCACATGTACCTGCCAAGGAGACAGCATGCTCTGAATTAAGGGCAGATATCAGAGAACGGTCGGAAAAAGTGTTAAGTGTGAAAGGCCCCTAAGTGACTGGCCAGACTTGTCGCTGAAACACTCACTGGTTATCCTGGTGAAGGCGACGGGCCCAGTGCTGCATGCTATTTTGTTGAATATTGAAATCCCAACAAGGACCCACTGGTCACCTGCTTGAGCCACCAGGGGACCCCCTTTGTCACCCTGCGGAAGGACCAGTCAAGGTAGGTTATTTGGTCTTTCTATTTTTTTCATATATATGTCTCGTTGGGTCTGACATAGTAACTTTCTGGTTCTGTTCATTTTGTCATTCTTTCTCATCCCTTTATTCTCTCTCTCTCTCTCTTTTCTCTTCTGTCCTCTCTCTCTCACATATAAACTGTAAACACACCGAAAGTGGCTCTCAACCCACCAGACACAAGCCCTTCCCCTCGGCGGTGGCGCAGATTTTCCTGTCAGTCACTTGGCTTGAAACTCTAGACGTGACATAAAGAAGCATTAATTGGGCGCGAAAGTAAGATGGTTATCATTTTCAAAAGTAAACAGAATTTAACTTATTATCCTCATTATTATCATCATTGCCTTTTGGTCAACATGAATGACTATAGTTTATGAAATTAGAGTGCTTACTTTCCGACACAGTCTGAGTTCTTCAAGGTCGTCATCTCCAGCTTCTGCAGGATGAAAGGTTGGGATTGTTGGGTGTTGAGGTTTCCCCATCTGAAGCACAAGGAAGCACCCGTGACTCACGTGACTTTAACATTTAATAACTTTAGTCTATGATGAAGCTAGTATGTATATTCGGAATATCAGATTATTATGAAGAGTTTGGGCATTCGGTACCCCAGCGTCGCCGAGAGAAAGCGTCCAGCTATACAGTGTTTTGTGAAGGAAAGACAAGTGTGAAAATACCGGAGCAAACATATCCCTCTCGAGAAGTCATTTGTGACAAAACTGACCCAGTGAAGGTGGCTCGAACTTCCTCGAACAGGTCGGCCGGGTCAGGGAGACAGATGGGCTGGATAGCAGGGCCAAGGAAGAGATTTAGGGGGACGTCTAAGCGTAACAAGAGGAGGTTGTTCTCTTGCGTCGTCGGGTCAAAGTTCGGGTGTGTGACCGTAGCGTCGACGCCGCGTCTCACTGTCGCTGAAGTATCTTGGTCTGTATTGATGTTGTGTTCGCCGAGCAGGACTTCCAGACTTCCTATGGGGAAGCTAGGAGGAGGTATGGTGTCATTATCAGTTCTATCATTGTTTTAATCAACTATCAGCTGCACATGTTCATCGTCACTGCCATCATCAAGATCATTATTATCATATCAAAGTCATTATCATCATTACATTATACCTCATCACATTAAATCCAATCATACCACTGCCACCATCACCATCATTATCATCACAATCATCACCACCACCATCATCATCATCGTCACCATCATCTTCACCACCACCACAACCATCTCATCACCACCACCATCATCATCACCACCATCCAACACCACATCACTCACCTAGTCAGACACGAGGCTGACGTCACCACGATCCTGTCACTGAGCAGGGCGCCTCCGCAGAAAATCTGTCGAAGCACAAATTCAGTGAATAAATGAAAATTGCTAAGAAAAAAATAATCAAAAGTTTTGCAAATAAATAATTATATTTCGAAGGAGGTAAAACCTATGATTTAGCTTCTGGAAAAATAAACAAAAGATGATAGTTTATGAATATCAGAACAAAAAGTAACCAGAGGCTATGGACAAATTCACATTGATGCAGACACATACTCTCCTACAATGCAGCAAGTGTGTGTGTGTGTGTGTGTGTGTGTGTGTGTGTGTGTGTGTGTGTGTGTGTGTGTGTGTGTGTGTGTGTGTGTGTGTGTGTGTGTGTGTGTGTGTGTTGTATACACATACACATACACACACACACACACACACACACACACACACACACACATATACACACACATATATATATATATATATATATATATATATATGTGTGTGTGTGTGTGTGTGTGTGTGTGTGTGTGTGTGTGTGTGTGTGTGTGAGAGAGAGAGAGAGATTAGATAGTTATATGGATAGATGTATGTGTGTGTCCCACTATGTAACCTCTCTATATCTACATATCTCTCTGATGAAATATTTCCCTATCTAACCATCTACGAAAAGCGACTCCCTCCCTAAGCTATAAAATAAAGTGGAAAGGAAGAAATAGAGAAAGAAAAGAAAAAAACACTAACAACAGACTCACCGCAAACGTGCTCTTGATAACGAGAGCGGCGTGCCACGGAAACTCGTGCAGACCAACGTCGGTTCCCCCAAGCACCCTCGGATTAGGAGAGCCCCCCCTAACGCCGCATTCTGTACAGTGCGTAGAAAACGGGAATTAGGATATTTATATTGTGCCAATTTTTTGTGTTATTTTTAAATTTAATATTATTATTACTATTATTATTATCATTATTATTATTATCATCATCGTTTCATCATTGTCATCATTATCATCATTGCTATCATTATCATAAACATTATAAAGATAATGATAACATCATTATCATTATCAATATTATTATAATCACTATCATTAATATCATTATGATTATCATAACCTCTCAACGAATCATCATCATTACAATCATCACCTTCCTCCTTCCTAGGATTCGACACCCCAAAGTTAAATTGGTCTAAACACATAGATAACATAAAAATAAAATCTATTAATTAATAGAACAAATATAATGAAAAAAGCAGGATATAACTGGGGAGCAAAAAGGGAAACTCTGCTGAAGTTTTACATTTATATAAAACCAAAAATAGAATACGGCCCGGAATAGCAAATAAATCAGAACAAAAAATAGAAACAATCCAAAATACAGCAATGAGAATAGCCACAGGATGTTTCAAATCCTCTCCAATAATAACATTACAAGCAATCACAAACAAACCCCCAATAACAGAAAGAATAAATGAACTTGTCTGTATTCAACTAGTAAAAATACTAGCAAAACCAGACAATTTACCAGTAAAAAAAGAAATTGTAAAAAGTATTCGAGACTACAAACCAAACAGAGACAAAAGTCATGGACTCAAAGTCATCGAAACTTTCAAAAAACTAAAAATCAAAATCAACATAAATAAGACCCTGAATATAACCCCAATACCACCATGGCATATTTCCCAAAAATTAGTTACAAATTTCATTGATAACTTCTCAAAAGACCTATCAATGAAATAATTGGGAAACAATACAAAATGCTAACAAACACAAAATATAAAAACTATAATAAAATATTCACAGATGGATCCAAAATAAATGAACCTCAGTCAACATCAGCAGCAATTTATATCGAACAAAAAAATATCACTACAATCTGGAAACTACCGAGGAATACTCAAATTCTAGAAGCAGAATTATATGCCATAAATCAAGGCCTGAAATATATAGAAATTAACAAACTAACAAACTGTGATTTTCACAGATTCCCTTTCATCTGTAATGATTCTACAAAACACAAACCCAGCAACTATAAACAAATCACATACGAAATACAAAAACAAATTTTCTCACTAACAATTCAAAATACAATGTAACAATTCAGTGGATCCCAGCACACAAAAGCATATTATGAAACGAAATAGCAGATCTTGCGGCGAAGAAAGCTCATGATCTAAATAATTTCACAAGCATAAGACAAGATACCAAAAACTTGATAAAAGAGATATCAAAGCAAAAATTTAAATATTCTGGAAAGACCAATTAACCAAAACCTTCATAACAAAAAACTATCACCTCAAAGATTCCACTCCACAACCATGGTGCAAATCAAAAACTAGAAAACTAGTTGTTTGTCTAACAAGAATACTGACGAATCACACGAGACTCAGAAAACATCTACACAGATTAAAACTAGAAACAGAACCAAGCTGCAGATGGTGCCAATACCCAAAAGAAACAATAGAACACCTTACACTACAATGCCCACGTTTCCATTCCGAGAGAACTAAACTAATAGAGGCTCTAAAAAAATCAAAATTAACAATCCTAATATCTCTTTACTCTGTACAGGAGATGATCATCCATCGGTTAAAAAGTACTACTTTTTAAGACATATGAAGATCTTCCAACAAAGAACAAGAATAGTGAATATCATAAAACAGAGAACAAAACTATAACCAACAAAAGAAAAACCTGCAATCAAAAAATAGAAGACCAGAAATTAAATGTACTGAACATTGCACTTACTGCAAGGTCTCTGGCCGAGGGTGGTGTCAGCAGTCGATGAAGTATAAATAGAATCAGAAGTAAGGGAGGTAAAAGTAGAGTAAACAGTAGAATTACTAAATGTGATGTTGGCAGTTGTGAGAGCGTAAGTGGAATTGGTATTGGTAGTAGAGGAACTGTCAGTAATAGCAGAGGTAGTAGAAGTGTTAGTGACAGTGGAAGGTGGAGTGTTAGTGGCAGAAGTTGAACTGTTAGTAACAACAGTAGATACGGTAGAAGTGGACGAAATGTCAGTAAAATTAGTAGATGGAGTATCACTAACAGTAGAAGTGGACGAAATGTCAGTAAAATTAGAAGTAGATGGAGTATCACTAACAGTAGAAGTGGACGAAATATCAGTAAAATTAGAAGTAGATGGAGTATCACTAACAGTAGAAGCAGATGAAGTGTTAGTAACAGTAGTAGACAGAATGTTAGTAACAGTAGATGAAGCATCAGTAATAGTAGAGGATGTGTCAGTAACCGTAGAGGTAGATGACGTGTTAGTAACAGTGGAAGGTGAAGTGTCAGTGACAGTAGTTGTTGAAGTGTATTTAATAGTAGTAGTTGAAGTGTCACTAACAGTAGAAGTAGATGAAGTATTAGTAACATTAGAAGTAGAAAGAATGTCAACAGTAGTAGATGAAGCATCAGGAATAGTAGATGAAGTGTTCGTAACAGTAGAAGTAGACGAAGTTTCAGTAGAAGTAGACGAAATGTCAGCAAAAGGAGAAACTGGTGAAGTGTCAGTAACAGGAGAAGTAGGTGAAGTAACAGTAGGAGTAGATGAAGTGTCAGCAACAGTAAAAGATGTGTCAGTAACGTTAGTAGATGAAGGGTCAGTAGCGGTAGAAGTAGATGAAGTAAAATTAGAGGAAATATCAGTAACAGGAGTAGATGGAATGTCAGTAATAGTAGAGACAGATGAAGTTGTAAAAGAAGTAGATAGAGTAACTGCAGCCGTAGTAGTAGTTAATGTGGGAAGAGAAGTAGTTGTAACATTAGATATAGATGTAAAATTCGACGATATATTGGGAGTAGATAAACTAGAAGTCGCACGAGTAGATGTGTCGCTGAGTGGACTAGTAGCTGCTACGGACATCGGCGAACCAGTACTAACAATACAGCTGAAATTCCCCGAAGTTTTAGAGAAATCCGGATTATAGAAAACGCGAAGAATTCCGTTTTCTGTGGATAGGTTTTGGGGTCCGGAAAGACCGCAGAATCTGGAAAAGGGAGTAAGTATATAATAGGGATAACGATGATAATGTTGTAAGAGGTGATAATCAGAATGCATAGGCAATATTAATGGTCTAGACTGAGAATTGTAACTGATTCATAGATTATGGAAGATCATATAACTCGAAGGGAAAACCTAAGTTCCTAGATATTTTAAATGCAGGTAGAATAATACTCGACGCAATTTATTTCCACCTAAGATAATTCCCACGAACATCACAGCCTATATGAAGATGAGAAATGAACATGCCTATAATTCACAAGAAAACATAAGAGATTTACAAGTGATGACTGGCGCCCACGAAGACGACAAGGGCGCCAGAAAGACAAGCTCCTCCGGTTTTGTTTCCCAAGCGGAATTCCGGGCAAGAGATGGAGACTTTCGCGTTGACGTCAAGAGCCTGCGAGGAGGGGAGAAAAAAGGCGGCAAAATTCAAATATTTTCACTGGAAGAGAGAGAAAAACGTTAGGAAAAATTCAAATATTTTCACTGGAAGAGAGAGAAAAACGTTAGGAAAAAATCAAATATTTTCGCTTGCAGAGAGAGAGAAAAGAAAACATACGAGGTTAATTGAAATAAGCATATAATGATTTGATAAATAGGATTTAGATAAGAAAAAAAAGTATCAGTGATAAAAAATAAAGATTAAGTGAAACAATATAGACCTATAATTTGATCAATGAAATTTGATTAAATATTTTTGACAACTGGAAGCAGATGAGACATCAATCAGCAGTAGAAAGTAAGAGTAATACTAAGAGAGTAATAGTGACTATTTAAGAATACTTTGATTAATCAATCTGATTTATCTAGAATAGAAAGATTTGAATATAATCTAAAAGTGTGAAAAAATGTAACAACCAGAAAATGAAGAAAGCTACAGGCAATAATGACAATTATAGTACTAATAAGAACGATGATACTGCTAATGATAACAATATAAACCAAGGTAAGTACAAGAAAGCTTAGCATGTAAAAAAATAAATAAATAGAAAATGAAAGAGATAAACAAAGAAATACATAAATATATAAAAGAGATAAATAAACAAATAATAAAAAAAGATAGATAGATAAAAGAGATAAATAAACAGATAATCAAAAAGATAAATAGATAAAAGAGATAAATAAACAAATAATCAAAAAGATAAATTGATAAAAGAGATTAAAAAACAAATAATCAAAAAGATAAATAGATAAGAGATTAATAAATAAATAATCAAAAAGATAAATAGATAAAAGAGATTAATAAACAAATTATCAAAAAGATAAATAGATAAAACAAATTAACAAACCAATAATCAAAAAGATAAACAGATAAAAGAGATTAATAAACAAATAATAAAATAAACAAATATATAAACGTAATAACTTCGTATAGCATACATTATACGAAGTTATACGATTTATCTATTTATCTTTTTGATTATTTGTTTATTAATCTTTTATATATTTAT